TTTTTCGGTGGCTATCGCTTTCCACAAGATTGCAGGTGTTTAATGGGTCACTTCTGAGGTAAAAGAAGGTGGACTACCTGCTGTATAGTTGGGAGAGCACTCATTGCCAATTGGTTGTCTTGGTTTGGAGAATCCATTCTCCATTTTCTGGTTTTGTTGGAAGGTGGCTGAAGTGGGATTTGTTTACTTGCATGATCTGATCTTTAGTCTAAGTGGGAGACTAAAGGAAGGAACGTGGAAGACAAGATGGTGCCTTATCTTATGTCCATTGGTCTGTGTAAGTAATGGGATGTAAAGCAAGACATTATAAGATGTGAAAGCAAGTTGAAGTTAGGTGTGGTTAATCTCAAGGTGGTCAAGTAGCTGGGTGCTATTGTGTTCAAAGGAGGTTAACTCACCAAGGGAGAACGTGAGGGAGAGCAATCAGTTCAAGTTAGGAGCTGAGTTGGGGTCTTGAGAGTCTAGACACCAAGGGGGGAAACACCAAGGGTTGTGAGAGTGTTTCACAAGTGCATCAAAGTGTTGAGCAAGGGGTGTGAGAGAAAAGAGAGCTTGGGGAGAGAATAGAGTTCTAAGGGGGTTTTTCTGTGTAAAACCAAAGTTGTAACTTATTCTTTCATGAAGTGAATTTCTCAAGGGGATCACCAAGAGGATGTAGGCAATTGCTGAACCTCTGTAAATTCTTGTGTCACTTTGTGCTTGGTTGTTGTCTCAAGTGTGTGTGTGTGTGATTCATCCATCATTGTGTGTGTCACAAAGTCCATCAACAACAAGATCATTAGGGGAGTGAGTGAAAGTGTTTGTCCATTTTTCACAACATCCATCTCTCTGCAGAAGAAAGTAGCAATGCGGTTGAAAATGAATGCAGCTATTATATGTGGAAGCAGAAGTTTCCTGTCAGGCAGGAATGCAGAGTGGAGAAGAGAATGGACGTAGATGAGTGGGTGATCACGCTTGCATTTCCAATCGGAGAACACCTTCATAGAGGTACAAGCTCACCCGGGGTCTATGCCTTCCTTCCAACCGAGATGGTGACAAACTTTCCCTTCATAATTCAAGCTGATTTTCTTCTTGCATCATCAAGGGAAACAATTCTCCTGGACAACATATGGAATAAGGGTATTCTTGATTGTGTGCCCACTGCATTTGTTAATGCATTTATCTCGCTTGTTAGATCCGTTGAAGATGCTCCAGTGTCTAGTTTGCATCGTATATTCAAGTTTCTGCCTGTCCAGAGCTCTTCCTATGAAGCATTGAATGTTATCAGAGAGTTCATAAAGGCAAAACTTGTTGAGGAAAACATTGTCCAGGAAAACTTCTGAATTCCGATTACCCTTCTGACTAGTTATGTTATGTATGGTTGCACTTGTTGATGATTTTTTAACCATATTTTGTTTTGGTTGTGTACTTTTGTCTGTTGGAATCTCTTGTCATTCTGAACAATTTATTGCTCTTTTATGTATGAAGCAGGCTCTATCATCCGGTATTTTATGTACCGTTTACTAATAGATATGTCAATATTTTTATTTCTACCGATCTTTCATTACTTTGGATTCTGTTTCTACCGGAGCTGAGACTTTGTGACGTATTGCTTGGTTGTTAACATAATGGTCCTAATAGATTTTAGTTTTATGGAAAAAACTTTCTTCATTGCATTGAAGTTTACTGAGTCTATGTCAAGGGGTTTTAAGTTAGCTGAAAGGATATGAAAAACGCGCAATCTGTTCATAGAATTAACAAGTTCTTGGTGCCACTGAATTATCTGCAATTCCAAGCCTATATCTTTGAAAAGAAAGGAAAATTCATATATAATAAAGAATGAGATTAAATTATATATGTTAAAATTATATTTAAGCAGTAGGCACACGCATAATGAAGTATTCACCGGAGATAACAACATGGAGAATGGTATATATCCCCATTACTGGCTCTGAATGAATAGCAATTTTCCACATATCCTTGCAGCATCTAAATGGAGAGGTGTGTTGCGTTAAAAAAAAAAATTATATTCAATACCGTGGACAACTTTTGTTCCACCAAATACAGCACAACTTTTGTTTTGCCATCCGAAACAGCAATATGCAGAGCAGTGTCCCCCGCTTTGATTATCTTCACCTCTTGAACTTTGGAACTCTGTGATGATCTATAGACCTCCACAGCCTTTTCCAGTGGCCTTTCATGGAATTTTCGAACAGGCTATATAGGTCAGTTCCTCCTGTGAAACAATTGCATCTCTGAACATGCCATAGGTAATTCCTCCTTTGAAACCGTTCCCATTTCCACCTCTGTTATCCATGTCTGGCCTCTTTCTCTAGCTAGTCTATAAGTTAAGTGAATATATATAGCAAAGCAAGCCTTTAAATTGTCGACTCTGATAGTGCATCACCACATGATATGAACTTTTTATCTGTGTGAGTTGTGTGCTTTTGTCAATGGGATTCTCTTGTGATTCTGGACAGTTTCTTTTTTCGTAATTTAAATCGGCTGCTAGATTGCTAATAATCTGTTATTATGGCTTGTTCATTATGAATATTGCATACTCATAATTATCCCTCTTATGGAGAGGGAAGGGTTTCAATCATTCAATCAGAGTGGCCCACATGAGGCGATATTTTTTCTTCATTGCATTATATCTCCACTTTGGTCTCCTAAGTTTGACAATTCAGTTCTATAATTTCCTTAGATACCAATAAAGTCCTACAAATGTAACATTGTTTAGGAAGAACAGACGAAATGATCACGTTTTGGATTGATTGCAAATATTTTGGAGAGACAAAAGTCTCCTCATGTGTGGTAGTTATACATATTGTCACATTGATGAATTTCATCAATTAATTTGACAGAGATTACATCTTGGGCTTGATTGCAAGCCAACTAAACTACATGACTAAAATTGCCAAACCTAAAATGACAGGGTTCAATGTGGGAAATGAGTCAAATTACATTGACCGAAAATATTGAGACAATTTCACACTCAACATATTCAAATTGTTCGAAAAATATACTATATGGATTAAGTAGCAGATCACTTATTTGCAAAGTCTAAGGTATTGTAGACACATAGTCATAAATTCTGAATGATTGAATATTTATCTTCGTAACGTTGGAATATGTCACATTGTCTCTCTCTTGATCTAAGAAAGAAGTTTTTAAAGATCAGATCCCATATTCCTCTTTGGTTTTCTAGCATGCAAGAACCTTAATTTCCTACTTTATGCACAACTTGTATATATTTAATTTGCTTTCACTTTGTTTAATCTTATGTTCTTCATTCTTAATTGGAAGTAATTTAATTACTCCTTTGGACATGGAGTGTATGAAAACACCGGGACGAAAGGAATTGTGCAAAGTTGACAACCTCATAATTGTGTAGTCCTTTGTTATTGGTAAACTCAATGGCACAAATCTCTACAGAAATCAAGGCCGTCTTGTGTGGAATCTAATTCGAATCCAAATTTAATCCATACCATACTTGATCCGAATCATAATCCAAAATCATACTTCGAAGCAGAGTATTTTTAGGTTGATTCGATTATCCAAGCCCAACTATTGTTTTTATAAGCTACTAAATCCATAACTCAATCCAACAAAGCAAAAGATTATAAGCTACTAAAACACCAAAATATAATAAATTCATAAAACCACAAACACAAATTTAGCAAACAAAAGAACATACAAGAGAAAGAAAAGCTAAAGCCAAAGCCAAAACCAAAGGCTAGCAAGCCAATATGCATAATAGAAGGACAATATGCTCCCATCCCACCGGGACTGGCTATCTATTTGCGGCGTTGCTCTCTGAAATAATTTCCAGGGTTACGCTCGAATTCAGCCCTTGGGATTCGTTCGCGCCTGCCAGTGCCCGGAGCAATCATCATCTCCTCCTCCTGCTCTGAATCTGATTCTGAACCTGAACCTAAAGCTGAAGCCAGACTAAATATTCCATAGGCCAGCAGAGCCGCTCCTGCCAGAGCGCCAGTTGCAATTGCAGCAGCAGTGGACCAGCCACCCTTGTCCTTACGCAAGTCACCACCATTTTTCTCATTTTGTTTTTTGATGCGACCATTTTCCTCATTGTTTCCAGAGCCTTCCCTGCTTTCATTTGGTCCCATTTTTTTACTATACAATCCAATCCAAACTCTACTTGGTTTTGGAGGGGACGGTGCGTGGCTATATACATGTATATATTACCAAAGGTGTTTAGATTCTCAAAGACGACTCAAGGACTTGGTGGTCGAATCAGCGTCCAAAGCTCATGCTTTTCGTACAAATCTCACTCATATTACCACTACATCAAAGGTTTCCTTTCACTTTCTTCTTTCAATAACGTTTACCTTTCATTATACTAGATAAGTTTACCTTTCATTTCAATAATGTTTGTTCGGTTTTCTTCTTTTGATTTTCTTTTTCTTCCTCCATTGAGAAGGAAGGTTACCTTCCTCTCTTTGCATTGAATCGTTAACCTTCAACACTAAGTTTGATTTGTTACCCGAGTTCAAGAACCATTTTGATCAAACACCCTTGTTTACTAATATAATATTGTTCATGTGAGAAATAATTGAGTGATATCGTATGCTGGTGATACTTTCACTTAAATTTTGTGTGATGGAGTTTACGATATTTAGACTTAGATCACATGACTAAAATTGCCAAAATTGAAATGACATGGTAATTGAGCCAAAAAAAAAAAAATTAACAAAAAACTCTACATATTGAGATAATTTCACACCCAACCTATTCAAATATTGTTCAAAAAATAAATTATATGCATTAAGTAATTGTGTGACAAACTATTTATAGGATTACTATACGAATTTTTATTTTCCTATATTCTTACTTCCCTCCCAAGGAAGGGAGGAGTTGAAGGTTGAAGACTTATTTCAATCGGCACTACCCTTACTAAAAAAATCTCATCCCATG